AGGGCATGTACCTTGGTTGCAGGCACATCCCCAGTGGGGGGTGTGCAAGAGGCAGCTGGTCGATGATTATCTCTCATCGATGTTTCTAACTCTCTATCCCTCTCTCTTCCTCTCTGTAAAAAATCAATAAAAATGTATAAAAAATAAAAAAATAAAATTATGCCATTTTTGGTTGGGATGAGAACATGTTGATGTTCCTTAGGATCATTTTTGGTGTGATAAATGCCAAAGACAAAACTTGATGTTTTCTAATGCTTTTATTATTTTATTTTTTTCTTTCCTTTTCTCTATATGCTTTTATTTTTTTTTTTTAGATTTTTATTTTTTTTTTTTTGACTCAATCTTTATATCTATATGCTTTTAAATAACTACATGCATCTGGAATACAGCAAGAGAATAAATCTAAAATTAAAAATCCACTTTAATTTTAATAAACTTAATTTATTGAAATTAAGTTTCGGAAAGCAGAGTCAGAATCTTAGCAAATAGAAGCCTCTCCTAAGATTAAAGATAAATGTCTTCCAAAGATGTAGCTATGTATTAAATGTATTAGTTTTGAAATATTTTTTAAGCTAACAAATTACTAAAGGTAATTTCCCTCATTGACACCATCGTTTTCATTTATGCATTACTGTTCTTTGAAATTTATGACTGTTACGTATTTAATCATGATCTAAGGCACGCATTTCAACTACTAGCAAGAAATCTAAAATCATGGTCAGATGGCTCCTAGCCATTCCCTGTATGTCAATAAATACCCATAGAGTACCCTCTGTTCTCTAGCAAATGCCTTTCATCCCCATTCTTATGGCATGACTGGTAAGGGGATGGGGAGAGGGGAAAGAGTTGCTAGGTGAGGAGAGAAGGTTTACCCTATAGGCAGCCAGTATCATTTGAATGTCAGCTTCCAGAAAAGCATTTGGTTTCATTCCACTGAAATCCTGGCACCTTTACTTGGGTCATAGAGTCATTTAAGGTCATTCACATATGGGTAAGATTCTAAACAGTTAGGAACACAGGAAGCCAGCCAGCCAAGATAATAGATAAGAGGAGAAAAAGGACTAATCTTACGAGCAAGTACTTTAGAAGAGCCTTCTACAGCTATAATTCTTTGGTGAACTTCTACTGCCAGGTGGTGAAGCACTGTGATACTCTTGAATTGAATGTTAGGTTGAAAGATACTTTGAGGAACTATCAATTTATGGAGGAGGAAATTTATAAATGAGATACAGAGAGTTTTATTGCCACAGTCAAGGTCTCACAGCTAGTTAAATGAGAAAGTCAGAACCTAAAGCGCCATCTGCTGAATTGCAACCCAGTGATCTTCCTTTTTGTCGCCTGAGTACATGTCCTAAGTTACTCCTCAATTCATGACACTTCAGCCTTCCTCTAGGAATGCAATTTTGCCCTTATGATGAACTATCTGTCTGACTCATGATTTTGCTCATTCAGCAATGTTTCAAATATATATCCAGAGCTCACTATGTGCCAGGAGCACAGGAGAGCACAACAGATCAGGCCCCGGTCCTCCAGGTGACCACAACTGAGCTTTAATTTCTACTTATATCAATGCCTTCTGGATCCAGTGTTCCCTGCCAGAAATCACTGCTTCTCTCACTATGAGAAATGCTTTACTCTCAGATCCATGAAAATATGCCTATTAACATTGACATGAGGGGGGAAAAAAATACACAACAAGCCCTGGCCTGTTTGGTTCAGTGGATAGAGCATTGGCCCTGGGCCTGAAGGGTTCTAGGTTTGATTCTGGTCAAGGGATGTATCTCAGTTGCAGGCTCAATCCTGACCCTAGTCAGGGCACCTGCAGAAGGCAACCAATAGATGTGTCTCTCTCATATCAATGCTTCTCTCTCTCTGTTCCTCCTTCTTTCTTCCACTCTCTCTAAAATCAATGGGAAAATAACCTCAGGTGAGGATTAAAAGAAAAAATACTCACACAACAAAATGAGAGATGCAGCTGTTAAAGAGAAAACCACAGGCCCAAAATGCAGTCACTTCTGCCAAAGCCCATGACACAAAACCTAGACTCAATCCCTAACTAATTGCATAACCTTCTCCAGGAATGCAATATTAATGGTTCACTCTGGAATTCTATGGTCAGTACCAATGAGGTAATCAATCTATCACATGGAGCCTCTCTTTCCCTCAGAAGAAATAGAGGCAGTCTCCCTGACAAGATCCCACTTCAGAAAAGGTACCCTTGCCTGAAACAATCCTTGCTTTTCTTTTGCTAATAACTATTTTGTCTCACCCAGCTTCTGCCTATAAAAACTTTCCATATTGTACAACTTCCCAGGGCTTCTCTTTACTTGCTTGATGGGATGCTACCTGATTCATGAATCACTCAACACAGTCAATTATAATAGATCTTCAAATTTCCTCAACTCAACTGAATTTTGTTCTTTAAAACAGCCTATAGTGGATATTGCATCTAAAGACAGTGAAGTGTTCTTGAAGTTGAGTCAAAAAGTTTCCCACCCCCCAAAAAAGAAGCTTTCCAGCTGCAATGAGGACTGAATTTCAAGCCTTCCTACAGTGCTTTCCTGACATTGATTCCATAGAACTACAGCAGAAGGGAGCCTGTGTTTTTCGCAATTACTGTAAAATCTCCTTGTCCAAAGAGGTGCTAGCTTACATCAAATCTTTCAAGTTTAAAGGGTGCAGTCACTATTAACCTAAATGAGTCCCTAAAAATCTTTGGTTATCATAGGGCACCTAAGAGGGTTAGCAAAAAGAAGATATGGAGCTGGTAATAAAATTATGTAACCACCAAAGGAAAACACACACACACACACACACACATACACACACACACAACACCATAAACCAGATTAGAGGAGGCTTAATCTGACCTAAGTTTAAAAAGATTCATCTCAAATTGACAAAGGAGGAGTAAAAATCATTGTTTTATAATGTGATATAGCCATTTGCACTACTCTTTAGCTTCTGAGTTCTTTTCTCAATTTGGAATCATTATGATGTTTGAGAGTCTGTTGGCATAAAAAGCTTTCCTAACACCCGCATTGCTAAGTCTTCGAATAGGAATAAAGGAAACGCAACCAACCATTCCCGTCAACAATGATTCTCCGTGAACAGGAAATCCAAATGTGTGGGTTCCTATTTCCTTTGGAAATATGGTTCAGTGTTCCTGATGCTGAAAATAGATTTCTGTAGTGACTATCTTTTTATAAAGATTTCAATCCAGGGTGAAGATAGTGGAGAGATTATGTCAAATAAAATTTAGCATATTCTAATCAAAGCTTTGCCAGTGGACGAGATTTTTCAATTTACCTCTCATGTACAGGATACACATCAGGTATAGAATACGTTATTTTTACTATCAAGCAGCAAAATTAGGGGATAAAAAAATTAAGAGTGGAAGATTATGTGGACCACTACAATACACAGTAACGAAATTTCTAGCTCCGTGTTTTCTAAAATGCATTTGGGGAAGTCGCTGTTGAAGTGATACAGAAGTCTACCGCATCCTTTAGCCCATGTTGGAGCCAAGGTCGAACGTCTATTTTTCACAATACCTCGTTCTTGTTAGGGAATAGAAAATGAAGGGTAATAAAGCAAAAACACTTTCTTTCTTTTTTAAAAAAGGTGAACCCAGTAAAGAACAAAGATAAAGACCTACATAACTTATATTTGACCCGCTGGCCACGGTGGGTATGGGCCATGGGGGGGACCATGGAGAAAGAACCACACAGGAGGTTTACAGAATGACAACAGTGTCTCCACACACTCCTCTCCTTTTAAAGTTATCCCTTATACCAATTGTGAACTATCCCAAAGTAAGTTTAGACATTGGGACAAAGACACTCATTGATTCCTAAAATGGGTGCTCAGGAAAGTCCATGTGATTTGACAGCCTAACTGGCATCCAAGCTCGAACATTTTCACTGACCGTCTACTAGAAATCTCCTGGCTTTAACTAAGCTTCTCTCTGTATCCTTTGGCACATACTGTGGACTAATGACCTGAATTCTTGACACAAAATTCCCATAAAATATTATGCGTTAGTAACTTCCTAGTTAAAATTTTATTTTATTTTCTTTACTGGGGCCAAGGTATAGTTCTGACATTGGATTGTGAAAAGTCTATATTTTATAAAATATCAAGGGCAATTTTTAAGATAATAATACACCCACAACTTGTGGCAGATTTGTAAAGGTATCAAATAGAGGCAGAAAGTGGTTTTTATAAGAACCACTTTCCTTGGAGGTGTCCTGAGATATAAAGTGCTTAAAATAAAAAAAAGTTCCCTCTTTAAAATACATAAAGTACACTTGCAATAGAATTTCTAATATGCATAACCATGAAAGCTTGCCTACATATTTAAAAAATAAAACCAAGTAACAAAAAGGTAAAGCTCATGGGCATTGTACTTCACTTAGCTACTTTTAAATTCTTCTTGTTCTGCTATTTTATCACTAAAAATGGAAAACCCTCTGAAAACAGAATTCTTCTTCACTTCACACTGTTCGTCTGGTCATATGCTTCTATCACATTGGATGTGTGTGTGTGTGTGTGTGTGTGTGTGTGTGCGTGCGCGCGCGCGCGCGCATGCGCGCGAGCGCACGCATATACATAGGTATGTATGTATTTCATGTCCAGGTGGCCTGAGGAAGCATAGGATAAGTATGGTTTATTATATGAATGATTCCTCCACAAGACACATTGAAACTAGCTTTTAAAATAAGCCAGTCTCTTCACCCTTTCCTATGAGTCTATCATTTGCACTAGGTGTTTCTAAAAGATCCAGAGAGTTATTCTTTAACTTTTCTTTGCCATACACAACACATGATTTAATTCTTTCAAGCCACCATTCATATACCCCGTCCATCTTGGGCAAATCATGGCACTCCAATGAAGCACTCGGTCTGTACAGTTAACAGCTGACGGTACACAGCTAGTTCAGCATAGTGAAGAGAAAAGTGGCATTGCACCTCAACCCCAAACAAAGTTATTCCATTTACCTTGAACTTGGAAGATAGTAAAGTGCGGCCGGCAATGGAATGAACCCATCGCGTTACCTGCGCAGTTCATCCACAGACCCTGGTAAACCCAAGTGGCAGTTATCACCGATGATGCTCGGGTGGTTACTCTCCACTCATTGGACGCGGTGGCAGCAACGAGAGCTCCAAACCCTCCAACACCAAACACCAGAGCCGAGATCTGTGCCCTGAACATGTCGCCCAGGCTCCTCCGGGGACACTGTCCAGACAGAACACTGGTGGTCTGGGCATGCAGCGGACAAAAAGCACTTGGACAAGTGTTACAGCAAGTTATGTGGGTAAGTGACCGTATGTCATACTTGGGTGGCCCGAGGAAGTACCAGAATTTAGGATAAAGTCTGATTTACTGACAGTACTTGAAAGATAGCCTTCGGATGATCTTGCTAATTTGCTACATGGATATTTTACTAAGATTTTGTAGATAGATTTTAAAGGTTTTGATTGCACAGATTTTTATTTCCTGGCACCATAGTTAATGCTTAATTTTCTGTTATCCTGAAGCTTAACGAACCATGCAACTACCAGATATTACAAAGTACAAATTATACAGTAACAGTGAAGGCTTTTGGACCAATTGCTGTAGTCTTATCTGCTTCTGAATCTTTATGTAAATGGAATCATGTGGGTATTCTTCTGTAACTTATCTTTTCCATGCAGTATCATGTTTGTGTGATTTATCTCTGTATGGGAATATAACTATTGGTCATTCAATACTAGTAGAACAGCTGCATTTAATATCTTACTAAGTGAATCTGTTACAATTTATCCATTTTCCTGGAGATGAACCATTATGTTGTGCCCCACTACCTCCCCATAGCAATGGAAAGAAGCTATAAACTTCTCATAAGTTTCTCCTTGTGTACATGTGCACAGGTTTCTCTGAGGTAAATCCTAGAAACAGAATTGCTAGGATGTAGGAAATACCTTCAACTTGATAGATCATACTGAACTGCTTTACTAAGTAGTTATAGGAGTTTACCTCCCACTATCAGTGGTTGAGTCCTCGTTTCCCTACACCATAATACTTGGTACTGAGGTGGTGTCAGAATTTTTTTTTTCTTTTGGCCACTGTGATCATAAAAGTATCCCATTATAATGATTGGTTTGTATTTTTCTGGAGATTAATGAGGTTGAGCATCTTTTGATGTGTTTATTGGCTCATTGTGTTTTTGCCTACAAAGACATATGAAGCGTTTGCTCATTTTATCCATTGAGTTGCTTGACTTTTTATAATTTGAATGAGTCATCTATGCATTCTTGAGAGTAATCATTTGTTGATTATATTGTTGCAAATATTTTCCCCTAGCTTGTTGTGGTTTGTCCTTTATGTAGCCATTTAATAAAGTATGTTAGTTTTAATGTAGTCAAATTTATCAAGATTTTACTAAATAATTTGTGCTTTTGTAATCTAGATTAAGAAATTATCCCTCAGATATCAAAAATACATTTTAAAAGAAGTGAAAATAACTCTTAAAAAGAAAATACATTGCCCTTTTCTCCTATTTCAAAGTTTTAGCTTAAGTTATAAGTCATCCAGAATTGTTTTTTGTGTGTTTTATGATTTGGTATCTATTTCATTTTTTAATATGGAAACCCAATTTTTAAAATAATTATTGACTATGCCTTGTCTCCCTATTAATCTGCAATGTTACCTCTGTCACATCAGATATCAATATTTGCATAGTCTGTTTTTGGATTCTCTCCTCTGCTCCACCTACCTGCTTCTCTGTTCTCATGCCAATATAAACTTCTTAATTACTCTAATTTTATAAATATATCTTGAGATCTTGTTAGTATCTCAAACCATGTTCTTGTTTTTCTCAAAAGTGTCTGGGAAATTTTTAAAAAATATTTGTTGCTCTTTATATATTTTAGAACTAGAGGGCTGGTGCATGGATTAGTGCAATGGTGGGGTCCCTCGGGCTGGCCTGCATCCTCTCACAATCCAGGACCCCTCCAGGGATGTTGGAGAGCTGGTTTTGGCCCGATCCTTACAGGCCAGGCTGAGGGACCCCACCAGTGCACCATCAGGGCCAGGGAGGGACTGCAGGAGGGCTCCGGAAGTGTCTGACCCATCTTGCCCAGTCCCAATCACCGGACCCCAACAGCAAGCTAACCTACTGGTTTGAGCATCTTCTCCCTGATGGTCAATGTGCGTCATAGTGACTGGTCAGATGGTTGGACACTTAGCCTTTTTTAATTGAATTTATTGGGTAACATTAGTTCACAAAAGCATACAGCTTTCAAGTGTACAACTCAATAAAACATCTGCACATTGCATCTTTGCCCATCACCCCACGCAAAGTCTGATTGAGAAATAGTGAGTTGTTGACACTGGATAAATGAGGCGGCTAAAGAGGTATTTTCCATGTTCCTACAACTCCCTTAGGGAAAACAGGCATTAATGATGCTATATTGTTTATTCAGTGTCACTGAAAGTTATCTAAACACAGGAGGAGGTATTCCTATCCCATGTCTATTTCTCTGATATTATACTAATGTAACCACAGCCATGATTACCGTTTTACTGCAGGAAGTTATAAAATGGATTGCCTTGCCAAATGTGTTTCACTTTGGCACACTCATTTTAAAGTGGCTTTCAAAGCAGATATAATGACCTCATTAGAGTCGGTAAATTGAATAGAGGTCTCCTAAAGCAATCAGTGCTGGGAAAAATTAACAAAGCGACCTAATCCAGGATTGCAGTGGGATTTTTTTTTTTAATGCTGTTGACTTATTTGTCACTTATTCAACAAATACTATGATGCATAATACTACACACATAACAAAAGTTCAGATTTGTGATTTGGACTGGATTTACCAGAAAACCATGTGTACACCCAGTTCTTACTCCTACATTGAAATTGGTCAATTGTCACCATGAGTGGTGAATCAAATTGCTTGATTTGGTTTTTACCCAGGATGGAAAGCTTCATGTCTTTCTACTTACGATCAAACAAAATTAGGAGTAGTTGTTCCAACCACACTTGTTTGCCGTAAAGTCAGGCAAGAGCCTTCATTGAGTCCAGATAGGTGTGAACTGTGCTGGTTCTCTTGATGTTTGGCGTTGCCCAAATCTGCCCTGAAACTCAGTACAGAGACCCTTTGGGTACATTCCTCCTGAGCATTCCCAGGAGGGTGGATGGAAGCCTGGAGCTAAGATGACATTTCAGACTACCATCCCCAACCCAGATAATTAACATAATCACCCTCAACTGCAGAGGAGGCTGAACATTACACAGCAACCAGCCTCAGCTTCAGCTCCTAACTGAGCTGCAACACAGACAGGATCCAACACAGCAGGGAGGAGTACATAACATGATCATAAACACTCCAACCCAGTCCATGTGCTGGTGCAATGCATGGTTTCTTCTTATTGTGAAATACAGCATACACAGGAGAGTGTCTAAAGCATAACATACTATAGTACTTTGGAACGCTAGCTGTCCTCAAAGAACTACTTTGTTCTAAATCTCATTAATGACCTGACCATTTGTATTGAGCATTTGCCTCCTAATTCCAAGTCTATTTCCAAATTGTCCTTTTTCGTGGACATCAGTTATCTGGCCCAGGTGTCAGATATTGATTCTATATATGGGTGTGGGATCAACTTTTTTTTCCTAGCATACTTCAGACCCTTTTCCTTCTTTTCTTTTCTTTTAATATTTGGTTATTGCATTTATTATTTTTTATTTTTATTGATTTCAGAGAGAAAAGGAGAGGGATAGAGAGATAGGAAATCAGTGATGAGAGAGAATCATTGATCGGCTACCTCCTGCATGCTGCCTACTGGATCAAGCCCACAGCCTTGGCCAGAATCAAACCTGGGACCCTTCATTCCGCAGGCTGATGCTCTATCCACTGAGCCAAACCGGCTTGGGCCCCTTTTCCTTCTTTATTGTCATTGGTTGATATATCATTGGACCTTATTTGTTTCAGGTTGACTCCCAAACTCATCCCAGTAGGACAGAAGCGTAGAGAAATGACTCCAGAACCCTATATGGTGTCTACATCTACCTGGACAAGTGGAGAGACGAGGTGAGCTCTGGAGAGTATTGGTGTCAGGTTGCCAGCTCATAGAAAACCTCCCTTACTTTCCTTGAGAAACTCGCTGACCTCCTTAGGAAAATTAAGGATCTTTCAAAGCACATGTTTATTCGAGTTCAATATTTCATACCACACTCAGCAGCTTGTTCTGAAAGGAAGCCTATCACTGGATTACTTGTCAAAAACCTCATCCTCTCTCCACATAGCTTCCTGTATTAGTCCATTCTACATAGAAATTCTGGTGCCCCAGTAACTTAGTCATAGGTACTTGTGTAGAAAATAAGAGCATCTCTGAGGCAAGAGACCCTAGGGGCCATGGAACAGACTCAAGATCCAAAAGGGGCACAGTTGTGGGGTCGAACCCTGGGTTCAAAATGAAAGGAAAGAATGAGCAATGCAGCTAATTCAGGTGCCAGAGTGTTATGTCCGTCAACACTATGGACTCAGAGAAGTTCCTGTGACCCTTCACCCAAAAGGGCTGAGAGTTGCCCAGACGACAGCAAAGTGGGAGAAGAAAACTGAAAGCTACGCAAGGGACTGAGGTGCCAACATGGAGTCATCTGAAGAAATTAAAGACTGAAATGGAAGCTACTTCTTTAATCATGTTCCTGCTCATGCTAGCATCTGTTAGCTTCCAGTCTTTTGCAAAATCTTGTGCAGCAAGTCCAAGGACTCTGACTAAATCTACACCAGCAACAAAAGAGACTCAGTTAGTAGCTAAAAATATTAATATGTCCATAATTCTGATTTCTCACTTTGTTGTTTTGCATTGGCATTGTTTGCAATTGTTTTTAATTTTAGAGCTCTAGTATTAATGTTTAAATTTTATTTTAATTAGTAGAAAAGCTTTCTTTATCCTGCCTTTCGAGACTTACCATTTGGTGGAGGGTAACCCCCTATTTTAAACATGGATCTCAACAAAGGTATGTGTGTTTCTATTTGCATGTGACCATCCCTTTATGCAGTGTGGCTGCCAAATGCAGACTGTAAAGAAAAATAAAAGATTATTCAAGAGCCAAAAAAAAGGGGGGGTGGGGCACAGGCCTAATACAGGGTGTAAGGGGAATTTAAGGACCACACTGCCTGAATCATGGAAAGTTCTCACTGTCTCTCTCTTGCATCTGCCTC